TGGTAAACCCTACCGATTATAAAAAGAATTGTGAAAATCTGATGAAATAGGCGCGTAATCTGCCTCACTATAATTATACCATTGTATTGTGACATTTGTTAATTGTCTTGCTTATTTCCTATATCTCGTATAATGCAAATAAAGTATACTCATTCATTCGTAATCATAAAAAATGAGACGATAAATTTGAGAAGTTATAAATAGCAAATTAATATGAAATTGTATCTGGTATATTTAAATATTTTTTTTTATAATATTATTAATTGTTTTAATGCTGAATTCAATCAAAATTTATAATTTTTAGGTTTTTAAATTTTGCATGCCTAATTATGGCGAAATATGTGGACTTATGTCTTATACCAAAGGGAGACTTTGTACAAAAGTTGTTTGTTTAGAACTTTAGATACTTCTGTCCCATACAGTTCTCTGAAACATCTGTGAAACAGTTGTGTTTGCATGGTTGTTTTTCAGTATGAAAGGCATGGCAACGAATTTACAGGGTACAGAGGAATAACACCTGTGTCCTCAGGAATATTAACGCATGGGAGGTATCGTGGGCGAAATAGTATACTCTGTTATGTCCATGGTACTTCTCATGTCTATAGGCGACGATTACCACTTTCCATCAGGTAGGGCGTTAGCTTGTTGGCCATCCTGAGTTGCATAAAAAAAAAAATAGACTTATTGTTAACATCTATACATAAGATATATTTATTTAACAAAGTATGTTTGTATAGCACAGAATGTATCATTGCTTCGTACACTAGGCTGAGCCTGTCCTGTAGAAAGCAGTACTCGCGTTATCATATACATGCATATAGATATTAAACATAGGCTTTTTAGCAGTACTCACAATTGTGTAACTAATTTGTATAATGCAATTATTTCATTTACCATTTTTCTTGTAAATAAATATTCATTTATTTATTCAAATAAAATGTGTTTTTTATACGGTCTGAAGTAATTAAAAGTAGACGGGCCATCGGATGGAAAGTATAATTATCTATAGACAGTGTATGTGACTGTGCTCACCGTCGCCACTGTGACACTTATCGTTTCCATAATTAAGAACTAAGATATTAATTATGCTTTCGTACCCAGTAATTTCACTGTCATACTAAACTGAAACATGGCCTTGTACAGCTACTTGACAGCAGAATTAATATGTATTATAATTGAATACTTCCATGGACTATTTTGCATGAAGTTTCGCTCTGGTAATGTTGTTTGTTAACATATTCTTTTTTTTTTTTTTTCATACCACTGTGGTGGCAAACAAGCATACGGCCCACCTGATGGTAAGCGGTTACCGTAGCCTATGAACGCCTGCAATACCAGAGGTATTACGCGCGCGTTGCCGACCCTGAAGAAACCTCTTTACCCCCCTTTTGAAGAACCCCATGCCGTAGTCTCTCGGGAAATTCTATTTCAATATAAATTATTGAAAAGGTAACTGAGTTTTGTTGAAATTATTATAGAAAGAATAAGGTTAGTAACAAATTGATTAATCAAAGTATTCAATCTATTAATGAAGTCTTTAATTATGTTAATGAACTTTAGCACACTGTTTATGCTCTTGTTAATTATTCTAATTTTATTAAAACCTTTTTTTTAATTGATGATAATGGAATGGTAATCATGCCTATGCTTTCGGAATACGGTGGCTGGGTACCAATGAGAGATGATAGATGAGTATGGAAGCAGGTCAGTTAGCTAACTGTGACAAATTCAAAAATAAATCAATCACGATGGTTTTCAGGGGGAACCGCCAGGAGGTCGACTTGATAGGGTTCATTGCTAGCAATGATTGCTAATCCTCATTACCAACAAACTCTTCCATCCCGAAACAGACTATTGTATCCATAAATAGAGAGAAAATTTAACATAAAATACATGAGTTTAGTATAAAATATTCCCCAAAGAAGTATCCTGATTAGTTCTCTTGTACGAGTATGTGAGACTCAAACAAATAAAGATGCTACGCCATATTAAAAGAGTTCAAAACGTCTGCTGCCCTCTTTACTTTACTGTAATAAAAGTAACACTTTAACCGACAAAGAAACAGATTAGCTTGTAAGATACGGTAATTGTACCAGACGTCTATAATTTCGTTTGGATATTATAAAGCAATGAAGAGATTTAATGATTCAACACTTCTCTACATATAAAAATTGATAAAAAATCCATATGCTGACCCATCAAACTGCAATCAACCTGTACTTTCGTCCCTTTTGCACGTAACTCCCGGTTTATAGCTTTCTCTTTCACACGTGTGGTCTTGTTTTATTTTAATTTCCAAGCGATGAAGCAGAGATATGGGCGGACAGTCAATTTATCTTTCACTCCCATATCTCCAAAACTTGGATGACAAATATGTGACTGGCATGTTTTCGTTCTATAGCGCACGGAGAATTATATTTTAAGAAATCATTTACCATGTATTATTCATGCATTTGGAAGGATTTAACATGAAAATATCTTTAATGGTTATTTATGGTTCATAATGGGGGTTTAATGTAAAATAACTAGTTAATAATTTGCTGCAGTACCTATAGGAAGTCAAGAAGAAATTGATCACTAAAAATTTATTGTTATTATCCCAGTACGTCAATCAACCTTCCTTCTTTCTAATATTATAATATATGTAAACTATTGTGTATTCAAAATCTACACCCTAAAACCAAAATAATCACACACGATGCCGTTTCAAAGATTCCTCTCGCATACACTCATATAAGTTTCCTGCAGAGGTTTTGTCTTCAGTCTGCAGCGCGAGGTTCTATAAAACAATTCTTAAACTCTCTTACTAATGAAACAATTATCGTAAACATAACTTGGAAATGACACTTTCTCTATTTAGCATTACGTTGGCATCGAATTCAATCTGGCTTATCGTTTTCATCAGTGATGATTTTGATACTCACTTTTACATCTGATTCAACAGTACGAGTATAATTTTATTTATTAATATTCATGAATTGATAATTTTGTTGTGACGAATATTTACTTCTGATCTTATTTGTACCTTTTCAAAGATCCCGTCTCAATTTCTTGTCTGTTGTGCTATAGAGATCAAATTCGAGCACGTATGACCATTCTCGACTTTCCTCAGAAGCGATAGCATCACATGGTCGCGGTGCTCGCGGTGCTCTTTGAAGCCTTATCTTGCGTCTCTGTCTTTCGTTAGCGGAAGGAGCTTTGATCGTGTGCTCGACTCTGATTGCTTTTGTTGTAACAATAAACTTCTTTTAATCAACATTAGTGTCCACCTCATCTCCAGTGTGTCGGTCACTTACTTATACTGTAATATAATTTACTTTTATTAGTTTTATTTTTTTAGTATGTTGTTACTAAATGGTACAGCGGCGTTGTCCGTTTTAATTACGATAAAAGTGTCATGTCATGTATTAATTTAAGATATGGACTATCTGTGAACCAAATTTTATTCAAATCCATGTATTGAGTAATAGACGTCCAAACTTACATTTCTATTATATTAGTAAGATACCATAGATATGTGGCATAATAGATAACTTCATTAATAAGGTAAATGTTTAAGACGCATTGAATGCCAAATTAATCTTACAACCATAAATAAAAAAGTAAAAAGATAGCCATTATTTTTATATAATTTCTACGAGTTCATCCATTCGTTTTTCATGTAAAGGTCAATCTTCGCTCTTTATGAAAAGCTCGTCGAACAAACGCTCAATGCTCCCTCCAAAAAAACAAGTAACAATCGTTTGAAATTAAAAATTCACAGGTTAGATCCTAGGACTTCCAGACCGTAGCCAAGCCAAGTCCAAGTGAGTTATCACCGCTCTATAATTTCTTTTTATGATTTACCTTCATCTTGGTTTTATAAATGATTATTAAAATCATTTTGCTTCCATATAATATTAAAATGTATTCAGTCTTCACACACGAGTTCAGATACGCCCGGAATCATTAGAGACTGTTGTTATTAATCATCATCCGAAGAGCTTCCGTGTTCCACTGGCTTCGTCCATTAATATGGACTATAACAAGATGTCTATCCCGGATCGTATCGTAAATAACCGGGTAACTCTCTAATATAATGATTGCGTAACGTTGTGGAACGCAGCCAGGAATAATATGCTGGTCAAAAATAAACGGACACACTTGCATTTTATGCATCCCGACTTGTGGATGCACTGTCAGATGGAGTTTGCACCGACTGTATATTTTGATAGATATATATGTAATCTTTATTACTACTAATAAAATTTAAAAAATCAACAATTAAAAGAAAAAACCAATTCATTTCGCTGGTTGCTGGAGCCGCCTCAGCTGTTGCTATATATGTACAGCTCCAGCGAGATGTACCTATACAGCGCTGATTTTCAGGCGGCCCCTTAACTGCTTTAACTTCAGCATGCGTGCGGGTCGCCAATACCCATTTCTCGGATGGGAGACTCAATACGCTTGACAATAAATAAATAAAAAAATATGACCAAAATTAAAAAGAACAAACTCTGAATTATTTTCGCTTCTAAGAAATATGTAATATATAAATAGAAAAAATAGCAAAAGGAGATTTTTTGCAAAGTTACCGTTGTGTTGCAGTTAAGATATGGTTCGTAGTAAATTTATTGGGTATTGTCACAAGAAAAACAAAGCATGAGTAATGCGGCAGGTTAGCGGTATAATCCAGATTTTTTTTTATGCAGTTTAGAATGGCAAACAAGCTGACGGCTCACCTGATGGAAAGTGGTAACCGTCGCCTATAGACATGAGCAGTACCATGGACATAACAAAGTATACTGTTTCGCCCATGATACCCCCCATGCGTTGCCATTCCTGAGGACTCGGATGTTATTCCTCTGTACCCAGTAATTTTACGCCATATCCCACCGTTCAAACCGAAACACAGCCATGCAAACACAACTGCTTCACGGTAGAAACATGAATGGGACAGAGGTACCCAAGCAATCGACTTTTGTACAAAGTCTCCCTCTGGTCCCAGATGAACCATTATTATCATTCTATTCCGATTCACTTCTGGATATAGGCCTCCGTGGGTGCCTTTCAACTAATGTGACTATCTTTTTGCACGAGCAAAGTCTTGAATGATAGTTAAGGATTTATTTCTTTATTGATTATCTTATTTCCAATATCCTATGTTCCATACAATATAATTTATTATCAAATTACTCATTATATATTGGTTTTTAATATTGATTTTTGATGTATAAATCAATTGAAAGTTGCAAGTAAATCATACTAAGCGGCACCTACATGTTTTTTACTTAAATGCTAATGAAGTCACTTTGTCACAGCGTAGAGGTCATAAATAATAGTTACGCAACCACGAACTAATGTAATTAGCGCACGTAATTATAATGGTTATTGAGGGCGCTCGCTAGGGGTCAGGGCACGGTGCGCACGCGCATATGCGCGGGTTAGCGGTTCCGGTGCGTTACTTAAGTATAAAGGAACAACCGTATTTTTTTGGATGATGATAGAATGGTGCTTCCGCCTATGCTAATAGTATACAACAGCGGAGCACCAATGAAGGAAGAAACGGTGAGGATGAAGTCAGGTCAGTTAGTCCATCCAAGTAGTGGGTAATAACTAACATAGTAATAATAATAATAATGGAACTATGCCAAATTTAATCAAACAGTATCAAGATATCTGAGTGGTATATCGATTTAGTTCAACAGATAAATTTTGTAAATCAATGAAGAGATTGATAACAATATCACGCGATATGTAAGTACTGGAATTTAACCAGTTGTATTAAATTTTTCGATTTATATTGTAGAGTCAGCGATGGTAGGCGAAGAAGAAAGGTCTTGATCTAGAGATTGTGTATTGGATGACAAAATATAGGACTACGAACCTTCTAGGATCGATAAAGGAAATTGGCGAAAGTAGATGGATGTGAAAAGTGAAAAATGGCTTACGGTGGAAGGCATTAGGTAAGACCTCCGTCCAGCTTTGAACAGATATAGGTTATACTGATGATGTATTAAATTTTAATGAGAATACATTGTAAGAAGCAAGTCCGTTGAAAAGTCCCGTTATAGATATTTCGACTTAAAAAATAACAAAGAAAGCTCTTGACAATGGAACAGGAAATGCTTAGCGACCAATTCGTATAGAACATTAGGCACGCGTGTACCGCGGCTCGAGGACTCTCACCTGGAACCCGACGTGTGGTCATATTGTGCTAGCCGTGGTGACCATCCCTCATTGATATACTTGGACATTTTGCTTTACTGAAAATTTTTAAAATATACTCTTTTTAAAATGCCCTTTTTACTCTTTCTAACACTATAAAAATAGACAATAAATAGGTCAGTAAATTAGTTGTTGTTGGCATACTAATACTTTAGGGTATACAGTATTTTTAAATGGTGATGGTGAGAATGGTATGGTAAACCTGCCTGTGCTATCAATCTCCGATGGCGGGACACCTGGTGGCTGGTGAGAGATGATAGATGAAGATGTAAGTTGGTCAATTGGCCCAAGAAAAATCCCATGAGAATTAACCACGACGGTTTCCAGGGGAAACCGCCTGGAGGTCATCCTGATAAGGTACATAGCCAAAATTGATTTGTTAAACCCCATTGCTAACAATCCCTTTCCCCCCAAGGGTATACAGGGTATGGAGCCATAATACCATAGTCCTCAGGAGTAAGTAACACATAAGGGATACCGTGGGAATCACAGTGTATTCGGTGATATCCATGGTGCTGTTCCTGTCTATAGACGACGGTTTCTACTTATCCTTAGGTTTGCCGTCAGTTTGTCATTCTAAGTCTCACTCATTGAAAATATTTTTATGTATTCATTATAATGATATTCATACCAAGTCCGTTCACATTTATTTGAAAAAAGTGCACTTAACAGTAAACAATAGATATTTATATAAATATAGTTCTGCTGCGTGGACACCGTACAATACAACGCAGTAATGTGTCCACATTTACTGGGCTATTAACTCTGGACAACGGCGTGCGTACGCGCAGGCAATAGACCGAAAATAGTTTAAAAAATATGTTCATTGTTAAGAGTAATTTGAAATTCTATTTATATTTTAAACTTTTTTATAGTAAATATCGTTATCTAATTGGGTAATTGATGATGAGTGATTTTTAATGACCTTTACAGTAAACGAAGGATATTTATTTAATAGTCATGGCAATGGCGATCAACATCCATTTTAAAAACATAATAAACCTATATGTACAAAATATAATAAATACAAGTTAACCTTTAAAACATATAAGAATACTATAGATTTATTATACCAAAACAAAACTATACACATATAATTTACTACACACAAATATTTTTTTAAATTCCCAAATTGATAATTAGGCTGTAAGTTGATTCTGAAGCGTCGTTCCAGTCTAAAACTATATCTAATATTATAATTTGATATAAAAGCGAAATATTTATTCTAAGAACCAATATAAACCCAACTTTTTTTAACATTAAGTAACTCAGTATTACATCACAAGAGTCTTTAGACTTTATTAATTTCTATTGATTTAGACACATTTTTGTCACCGCTTACAATATATGAGTAAAGATACTGCTGTCTCTTTTCTATTTCGTAACGAAGATCTAACTAACTATCATTTGCCTGTCAAGGAAGTCTGATGTTGCAAGCATGAATAAGCTGCAGCAATTTTCGCTTACTACAACATCATTATCTTCCTGCCGTTATCCTAATTATATAAATTTTGGGGTTTTTATCCATAGTACCTAAGATTATAATGGCCACCTGCCTATCAACCCCCTTGGGAATGTATTTGTCGGTGAAACTTGCTACGTACAGTATGTAAAAAATAATCGAGGAAAAATGAGAGAGACTTTGGGACCGAGTGCAAGAACTTGGTATAAAAGAAAGGCGGATTAAAGAGTAAACGTAAAATGGGACATTGCAGTTGCGGAAGGGATACTGGTCAGAAATTGCAGCGACTCGGGAGACCTGGGTCATATAACCGTGTGCCTTTATTCTAGAACCGGATATATCATTAGAGGAGCACAGCGTTCACCACATCATAAGGACATAATACGAAGGCCTACACAATACATCGCATTCAGTATTAAAACATATTCGTAATTTCTAGTTCTTATAAAAATAGAAATGTATTTGCGTATTCCAGAAATCTAGATATTCTAAATAGGCCGTAATTGATCTTTACGTGTCAATATTTCCGTTCAGCGAAACAGAGGCGAGCACTTTTGCAAATTAGTTTCGCGCCCAATACACTTACAGAATTAGGTCTAGCCAGGCGATAAATAGACAGACCTGTTGGTTACGAGCGGGTGCAAGTATCAAGCTCAAGCGGATTATTTGCATCGTAACTTGCCTATAATAGAGCAAAATCTAAATAAAACTTCTTTTATAAAATCTTAAAGTTCTCTTACTAATGTTGCATGTAATTTGTCTTTTCAACCGACTTCAGAAAAAAGGAGTTTCTCGATTCGGTTGTATTGTTTTATATATATTAAGGCTTATGTTCATCAGTGGACAGTTACCGGCTAAAGTTATGGACGATGAAACTTAATTATAAGAATTTTTGAATTTAGAACTATTTTTTTTTAACAAAAGTTGATTTTACAATTATACATTTGTTTAATACAGACTACCAAATAGGAGTAAAAGTTATTTAAATAATTAATAGGGAAACATTAAAGATTTCTCCTTTACGTAAACCAAGAGTGTTTGCGCCTGCACTCAGCGACCCAATTACCCGTTTTTATGTTCACTAGTATAAACTTTATAATCTTAACAGATGTAAATATTTAGTCTTATAGGAAATCTAGATTTTGTTCTCCTAACGTTCAGTTATTATAAACACATCTGTAACACTATTCTCATCAAGAATCTCTTAAAAATGTGTCAGAGTTCGAATGTTCTTGCTTATAACAGTACTTCCAGTACGTGGACTATTCACGGTTTTATTTATCTAGTTGTCTTTATTAATTACTATCGATTCTTCGCTGCTGGCTATCGTGACTCCGTCTTAGATCGTCTTTAGTTTGTCTCCATTACTGGCAGTAGCTTTGTGAAATGCGATACTAACATATATTTTTGGGAGGAGAAGCATGCTAGTAAGTCAACGGTTCCAGTTCTTTGTGTAAATGTAAATGTAGGTTCCAGTTCTTATTGCTATCTATAGTAGGGGTCCTCTCACGACGACCTCCAAAATTCTTCGTGATGATCATCGCGGTTAATTCCCAACGAATTCGTCACGACGAACCAATTGATCTGACCACCCAATAATACAAAAAGTAAAAACTGTCTAGTTGATCAATTTATAGACAGCGAACTCTAGGAATATAAAATTTATGATACAAGTTCCTCAGATATGTGATCACTAAGAAGGAATTCCTCGAAATTCCCTTAAGAACAGGAAATAAGAGTAGAGGCGCGGAAAACAGCTAATAACGTTTTCGCAAGCTGTCATGTTCCATTGATATATTATGATGCTATATCATATTAGCCATGTAGTCCCGGCATAGAATAGCCCATCCTTTCCTTTCCCGTGGGTGTCGTAAGGGGCGACTAAGGAAACTTATGGTCAGGATATGGGCAGCAGCGTTCCTCTTAAAACATCTTCAAAAGCCTGACTGCGGTTATCAACCCGCCTGCCAAGCGTGGCGTGGCAACTATTGACAAAATCCTAATAAGGGAAGGTTTTTGTTCAACAGTGGGCAATTAACGACTGATATGTTGATGACGATGAAATCATATTATTGCTGCATTGCGATATTGAGCGCTTAACAAAGAACTTCCCCATTGTTTGTTGACGTAAACCCAATAATTTTGCTCAGTGTATACCCAATTTGGCAGCCAAACTTGACCCCCATAAAGCGGTCAGACGCGCCCAGTTGGCCACACCATGTGGCGGTGCGACCAAGTCTGCGTTACCAAATTATTTGTTGTTGTACGCAATATGGGCATGCTTTAATTGCATATAGCAGATACAATTTTAAATACAGTTAACCCATCTCTGGTGATTTAGTTTTCATCTAATCTTAGCCGTATTTATTGTAGAGTCTATGTTTTATCGACGTTCTGGCTTGGCAGATTGCTAGTAACTGAGATTAGCAGCCCACTTCTTATCTTATCTTTTATTCGCGTATGGGGTCAGCTAAGCCGTTGTACGTCGACCCATCGGGATCTTTTGTGCTCTGCCTTATACTATAATTTCATAGATCCTATGTATTACCCTAACGATATTCCGCGGTTTAAGATATCTGTAGTCTCTTGGCTCTGAATAAGTCATTTTTAGTAGGCTCATACGCATACTTTCCAACGAATCGCAGTTGCATATCAAGTATTTTATGGATTCCGATTTCTCTGCGTACAATCAGCACAGTCTCTACGAGGATAGACCCAGTGTCGTTTAAGAACATTTTTTAGAATGCTTGAGACCCTTCAAGGTCCTCCATTCCTTTTGCTGTTTTTTCCTACTTCTCGATCAGGTTAATCTCTACATGGCTCTCTGGAAATCATTGTGGTTAGTTCTTGGGAAATTCGTCAAGATGGGTCAGCTAACCTTACTTCACCTGTCCTCCTTCACTGGAACTGCTCTAATGTATCAATAGCGCTGACAATGTCACCAATTAGCATTACCAGATTTTTTTTCTTTTGCCAGAAAATCAATGTTTTTTTGAAGTATACACCGGTTCCATTATATATATACCGTTTCCATATATATATATATATATATTATATTATTTAAATGTGTCATGCGGCTTGGGTAGAGACGTTTTAGTGTTTATTATAATTAATTTCTGTCTTTTTTATGTAATTTGGAATGATAAATAAGCAGATGGCTCGCCTGATGGAAGTAACCGTCCACTATGCATGTAAACAGCACAAATGTCACAGAATATACCAGAGGGAGACTTTGTATATTGCTTGGGCACCTCTATCCAATTAGTGTTTCTACCGTGAAGCGGTTGTTTGCATGGCTGTGTTTCGGTTTGAAGGGTGGGATAAAGCAGTGAATTTACAAGGTACGAAGGAATAATATTTTAGTCCTCAGGAATGGTGACTCTTGGGCTGTATCATGGACGAAAAAGTATATTCTGTTATGTCCATGGTACTGCTCATGTTTATAGGCGACGGTTACCAATTTCCATCAGATGAACCGTCAGCTTTTTTGACATTCTACGTTGCTTAAAAAAATATACTGTGACGCCCATTACTTTTCATACGTTGTTGATAATAAACAGATGTGGTTGTTTAGATTGAGATCGTTTCAAGCTATATTAAAAGTAACAAATGATTTTTATTTGTTCCAGGTAAAGTGATCACGAGCAATCCACGTTTATTTGGCTTCATTGGTCACGCTCGGACAGCGCAGCGGCCGGCGATCGGGGCGGGACTGCTATTATTGGTAATAACCATCAATTATTGGTTAAAAAAGTCACAAATTACAGGATGACTGGATATTTCGGATAAATTTTAAACCGACTTAGAAGAGGAGAAGGTTCTTGATTAGATATGTTTTTTATGTATTATATATGTATATGTGATATTTTATTTATGAATTTTGAATTGCCATATATGAACCGATTTTAATGATTATTTTATAGTTGATAAGGTTTACTGCCGTGTTAGTGTCTTGTAATAAATAACACTAAATGTAACATTAATTATTGCAAAACAGAATTTCGACAAAATTAGTTACATGATCAAAATCTGAGAGCAATTGATTTCTCTTTTATTTAAAATAAAAATCATCGATATGTACATAACGCAATTACTATACCAATTGTGATTTTTTTTTATACAACTTAGAATGGCAAACAAGCTGACGGTCCACTTGATGAAAAGTGGTAACCGTCGCCTATAGACATGAACAGTACCATGGACATAACAGAGTATACTGTTTCGCCCATGATACCCCCCATGCGTTGCCATTCCTGAGGGCTCAGGTGTTATCCCTCTGTACCCAGTAAATTCACGCCATATTCCATCCTTCAAACCGAAACACAGCCATGCAAACACAACTGCTTCACGGTTGAAACACGAATGGGACAGAGGTGCCCAAGCAATCGACTTTTGTACAAAGTCTCCCTCTGGTTTTCATTAGCATACACGTAAAAAAATTGTTGAATTAAGAACCTATTCTTCTTTTAAATTATAATAACGTGGGATATGTTGAAAAATCAGATCAATTTTCATTCGCTTCATTATTATCATTCATTCAGAATGTAATCAAATAACTCTCCAATATTATTCCACACGGATAACCTTCTACATGGGAGGGGGGGAGGGATAGTTAGCAATGGAGTCTGACAGCCCCATTGTTAGTAATTTGCCCTATTAGGTCGACCCTCACATGGTTCCCCCTAGAAACCATCGTGAACAATTCTCGTTGAATTCATCACGATGGGCTAACTGAACTGCTTCATCCTCACCTTTTATCCTTCACTGGTGCCCCGCCGGTGTGTACCAATAGCGCAGACGGGGTTACCATACCATTATCACCCATTAAAAAAGTACCCAATGTTAGCAATGCAATTTAATTTTAATTTTTACTAAACCATTATCATCCATTATAAAAAAAACCTTCTACAAGGCTGTAGTTTGTGCAAAATTCATAAACACACTATTACGTTTTATCAAATGTTTTATCAACAAAACGCCTTTGTTTTGGCGACCTTGTTAAAACGACCGTTGCATTTCCATGTAAACAAATATAGGGAAGAAAAATCACTCTACTCGCCGTACGCTTCACAACACACTCATTCACATGTTTTATCATGTTTATCTTTGGTTAGTGTCTCTTAAAGCGATGAAGTAACACATTGCACAATTATATTGACCCCTCGCTCGTTATCTACACAGAAATGTAAGTATTGGGTAATGCATTGCATTGATGATATCTATAGGCATTTCTATAGCGATGGTAACGGTAGACTGGCTGGCGACACACCTGCAAAGTTAACCTTCGCACTCTTGAGTGTCTGTATGTATCTTATAATTGTAAAATTCATAAATACAGACTTGTGGGGTTCTTAGAAATAAAAAAGGCGAATAAACGACAATTATTTTTGTTTCTTTATATATTTTTAACCATTATAACGCCATCTAGTATGAAACTAAGCAGAGCTTAGTTACTTTACCAGAGGGAGACTTTGTACAAAAGTCGATTGCTTGGGTACCTCTGTCCCATTCGTGTTTCAAACGTAAAGCAGTTGTATTTGCATGACTGTGTTTCGGTTTGAAGGGTGGGATATGGCGTGAATTTACAGGGTACAGAGGAATAACACCTGAGTCCTCAGGAATAGCAACGCATGGGGGGTATCATGTGCGAAACAGTATACTCTGTTATGTCCATGGTACTGCTCATGTCTATAGGCGACGGTTACCACTTTCCATCAGGTGGGCCGTCAGCTTGTTTGCCATTCTAAGTTGTATAAAAAAAAAGCTAGTAAATAATGTTCAAATCGCAACAAACGGGAATAATCATAATAATAGTAATATTTATTTATTTAGACAACACAAGGCCCATTTTTTTAGTAATAATTTACTTAACCTATGTTAGTAGGTTCCCCCTGGAAACCATCGTGAACAATTCTTATTGAATTCGTCACGATGGGCTAACTGACCTGCTTCATCCTCATCTGTCGTCCTTTACTGGTACCACGCCGGTGTATACCGATAGCGCGGGTGGGGTTACCATTCCATTATCACCCATTAAAAAAAAACCTATGTTAGTAAATGAGCGGTCATGACACTCTTGCATTGATAAGCTGTCCCACCCTGTATAATGCATATATTTGTGTACTACGAGATTCGAACCCACAATCATTGGAAGGTGATAAAGTATGTCGAATTAATAGAGATCATCAAACACACCTCTCGTCTCATCTGCATTCATAATTCCGAACACTTGGCTTCCATCTGAGTGTACGTTCGATTTGATCACAGTAGACAGTTTTTAATGCTAAGTGGTAGCACTGTATATGTAATAATACTATGGTAGTGGTAGTCTATTAATATTTTTTATGCATATTAGTTAATCTTGTATTCGAATTTCAAATTCAAATTCATATGATAATAATCTACTTTTCCCGCGGTTTTTTATGACCCTTAGAGATGGACCGTAGCTATTATTCTTTATCTATGCTAATAATCCATATCTCTTTCTCAGATTTATTTCACAAGTATTACTTTATTAATATTAATCGACTTGAGGACGCTCTGGCTTCGTATGTTTTTTTTTTAATAAAAAAAAACAACCTATATTCCTCGCAGACAGTACAGCTTTTTATAGGTGAAAATTTAAAAAAATCAGTTGAGTATTTTTTTTTATTTTATCAAATAAAAACTCCCTTGTGTACTTGTGGAGCCACCTGGTTTGAGTCGGATAGATGGGAAACGGCCTAATGGTTTGACTTTAGTAACATGGAAGAGAGACCGCTATTTGTTTTGGGATGCAACTTGCGTGAGTACGTTTGCTGTGTCTCATTTGCGGTATACGATTCATGTGGTTGGCCCGGCCGCGGAAACTGCTGCTAGACTTCATTCAACATATAAGATTCATTCAACACTCAAAATATAAGATTCTCGAATCAATTTATATTTTCGTTCCCATTGCTTTTGAGACTACAAGTATGTATCTTTTTACCAAAGGGAGACTTTTTACAAAAGTTGATTGCTTGAGTACCTCTGTCCCATTCGTGTTTCTACCGTAAAGTAGTTGTGTTGGCATGGCTGTGTTTCGATTTGAAGGGTGGGATATGGTGTGAATTTACAGGGTACAAAGGAATAACTTCTGAGTCCTTAGGAATGGCAAGGCATGGGGGTATCATGGACGTAACAGAGTATAACAGTAGGTATACTCTGTTATGTCCATGGTACTGCTCATGTCTATAGGCGACAGTTACCACTTTCTATCAGGTGGGCCGTCAGCTTGTTTGCCATTCTAAGTTGTATAAAAAAAATGTGGAGAACAGAAGCAAAATCCTATCTGACTCAAAGGATATCTCTGTTAATCCAACGTGAAAACGCTTTAACCGTTATGGGGACCTTTGGATCGGGTATTAATCGTAAATAATATTTTAACTAATTATTAGTTTAATTTATTTTTTGAAAATGGAAATTAAATCTTTTCTATTTATAATATTAGTTTACAAATAGATTGAGTAATCAGCTTAACCAGTAAATACGAATAAAAAGACAATAAAAGACAAATGTCTTCAATGAAAGAAGTTATCTAAGCAATATTATCTCGGTGCGTCCATTAATATAAGAATTCTCATGACTATTAACATGCGTATAATTAGATATGAAATTAACATGTTTACGTAAGAAACTATACGCGATAAGTGCAGCGGAAGTATTGAAATAATGCAAGGCGCCCCACTTACTGGCGATAACGTCGGATCTCACTGCACGAGCGAGTATGTACGCAATCACTCCTCCACTGGCTACTTGGCATTAATTTTATGAGATTGTACCTCTCGTGACTACATGCACATATACGAAGCAAGCTATTACCTCCATCTTTTAAAAGTTAAAAATTAGGTTGCCGATCTCGATACTATCTGTCGGACTGCAAATCGAATGATCAATCTTTCTAATCTCGAATCAATTTCTGATTCGTTATTTTTAAGACAGTCGCTTTTTGTGGAATATAATGTACTGGTTTTATATATGTACCTAAATAAAGAATTATTGTCCCATTACCGGGCATTAGTCGCTCCTCATAAAAGAAGCACATAATTTAACATTCCCACCCTGGTCAGCCAGTCTGGTCCTGATATAGAATGGGCCATCCCTTCCTTTCCCGTAGGTGTCGTAAAAGGCGACTAAGACAACTTTATGGTCGAGGAATGGGAAGCAGTATCTTTCATAAAACATTACCATAACCTTACTGCGGTGGCCACCTTGCTTGCCAAGCGTGGCAACTACTGACAAACCCAAAAGGGATGGCCTATGTTCAGCAGTGGAAAGCTAACGGCTGTATCATCATCAGTAGCCATTCTACTACATATAATGTTTTATTCCGACTTCTCTTACGTTAGTGTATTTTACTTAGTTCTTCACTCGCCTATTACGACATCCACTCAATGAAAATAATCCATGATTCAAGTAAGTGCATCCTTGAAATAGATTTTAAAATGGAACCAATTATTTCGAGATAATGCCAAACAAAATAATATTGTTCTGTGAAAAGTGACGTCACACGTTCAACTCGGGAGCCATTGGGAAGCCAACGAATCATCAAAGACAGAAGGAATTAGGTCGCGCGCTTCCCTCCGCGTTTGTTTTCTGGCATTTATAGCGGTGATGATAGCATCTTATAGGATAGTCGGTGATGAGTCATTGACGATAGTGGAATTTGTATTTTGAGGAATGTTTACCAGTGGGACTTCTTTAATC